TGTCCACAGTGCTCTGTAGGTGGGGCAGTTTGCCAAAGCTCCCCAAGCATAATTTTTAAAATCTGAATTCTCAGCTCAGACAAGCTTTCCAAGTAGGGCTGTGTTCAAGGTGTTCTGGAGCCTGAGGTGGGGCAGGAACCTCGAGTCTTACAACCCTTAGATATCTTCTCTATCATCCATCCCCACTGAACTGCTCAAAGCCTGAGGCTAGGCATGGCCAGATCCCAAAGGCTGGCAGGAAACACATGTGGCAGAATCTGCAGACTTCTCAGCCACTCACATGAAGATACACCCTGTGGGACGAGGACATGGTGCTCAGACATCAGGGTGACACCTACAGCAGTGGCTGAGGAGTCGAGGCCTGTCTTCCTCCAGGGTCTTCCCAAACAGACGGCTTGATTCAGAGCAGGTCAGATGCTTGTGCACAGGAGGACCTCTTGAGGTCTGTGTGTGAGGTCGGGACAGATGAACGTCCTTTCACGGAGACAATCCTCTTGGCAGTAGCCTTCTGGGGAGGGAAAGATTCTATCTGGACTGTGATGAAAGCTGTAGCTCTCTCACCAGAAAAATGCACAACTCTGCCTTTTTTATATACAAGTTCATTTCTTTCATCAATATCAGAAAGTGATCCACAAACACCAGGCTTAAGAAGTCCTGCTCCGTATGTTTTCCAAAGTGTGATATACACCCCACTGATGGTGCCCAAGATGATTTCAGAGGGTGTGAGAATGAGCATTTCTTACTTTAATAGCCCAATATTTCTTTTAAAGGGCATATAAAGCCTGTGGTTTCACTGGTATTATTCAGAGTGACTGAATGGTAAAATAAAAGGTGAATCTAGTTAAAGATAAATATTAAATAGAATTGTTTAAGTCGTATGACAATTCAGAAAAAACAGGGACTGATTCATGTATGACCCAAGTCTGAAAAACTCAGTACCTATGGCCCTGGGAGGATTGGACCCAAGGTTCTTTCCTTTCCTATGTCTTTTTTAAAATGCTGGTTTCAGCTCAATAAATGAACTTCATGACCCACTAACAGTGTGCACTACTGTTGAAAGAACATTGCTCTTACTTGAGCTTGGAGTGAGCAGCTAGACCCTACTGGCCCTTGAGGGCCAGGGTGGGAAGAGGCATCGCTTCCCTGCTTGGCTGTCACTCTCTTACTTGCTCAAGGTGGGCAGCTCAGCTTCCTCAAGTCCCAAGGCCATGGCAACCGCAGACCTTGTCTCATCCCCACAGTATGCTGGCTCGAACGAGTTTGACTTGTTTTGTGTGTGTGCCTTCGTGTGAGTGTGAATGTGTGTAAGTGTGTACACAGAGGGGTGTGGCAAAGTGGGGAACAGGGAAAACCAATGGAGCTAGTCCTTCTCCCTGGAAATTTCATAAAGCCCCCGGAGGCTCCCCTCCAAAGATCTCCTGCGGGGGTCACCATTCAGAAAAGAGCCCTAAACAACAGAGCGGGTTCACGACACTGCCCTTCCCCATCCACATCCTTCTGGTCCTCACATCACAGGAGCTGGGCTGTACTCTCTTGCTCCAGCAGGAGGAGAGAAGGGAGGTGGAGAAGGCAACAAGGAGGTTGCTAGAGAGAACAGAAATGTCTTGTCTCCCCTCAGGCCTTAAGAAGAGGGCTTCTCTCTGAAAGGATACCCCACTCCACATTTCTCCTCTGATTGCCTCTCTCCCTCTATATAAAGACAACTCTATGTTACAGTGGAATGAGCGGTCAGTGGGGAAATAAAGGTGAGGCCCTCACCACTGCAATCTAACAAAGAACTTAACAGAGGAGACTAAAAGCAAAAGCCTACACGTTGACCCAGTAATCCTGAGCCTGGTTTGATAAGGCTGCCAGGTGTTCCAAACAAGTGAAACTGCGATAGCGCAGGGGGAACCCCTTGAAAGTCTGTGTTTGCCATCTCCACTAGCTGGGAAAAAGAAAATCTTGAGACTGTATATTCATCCCAAGGCCTGGAAGGGGAAAAAGGAGGGGTCTATAGTGTCCAAAGAAAGGATCCATAAACAATTTTGTTTAACTGCCTGCCTCCCGTCACATGTGCAAAATGAATAAAGTCTGGAGCAAGATGAGGATTCAGGCTAACAGACCCCCACCCATGCCTACGGTTGGGTAGTCACGTCTCTCCAGGAAAGCTGGCACCACTTTTACCCATCCATCAACATGTAACTTCTTCACCCCCCATCCCGCCAACTATAAAAGTCCTCAGGACAAAGGACTCTCTTCTCTTGGCCTCTCAGCTCTTTTTGCCACATGGGGCGGGGTGGGGGGGTGGCCGGGACAACTGGCTTCTGGCCAAAGGGGGGGGCCTTTGGCCTCTCTTCTGGTCACCTGGCCTCTGGCCACCCTCCTTTTGCCACCCCTGCTCCAGCCACACTTGCTTTGCTTTCCTATTAGAACTTAGCACTAATAAACTTTGCTTGCACACTAGTCTGCTCGCTGGCCTGCAGTTCTCTCCTGTGTTAGTGAGAAGAACCGACTTTCTGGGAGTTTCTCCTGTAACACCTATACTAGATTCTAGAATAGACTTCCGTAGACAGAAGCTGACAGGTAACTGGAGTATTGGGTGAGTATGGCCATCGGTCAAGTTTGGACTACAGGTTTGTGTGTTGATAGTTTCTACTCTTTTCCCCCATATCCTCTGGTTGGGGGTCAGTATAAGGCTGCCTGCAACATGGCCACGGTGGGACTCTTGGGGCAAGTGCAGGGGTAGGAAGCAAATTTGTCTCAGTATTCTCTGAGTGCAACCCATGAGTGTCGCAAAGCACAGCAACATCAAACCAGAGTAATGGCCAGTGAGCAGAGCTGGGGGGTAGGGCCACCTACAGCAGCTGGCCAGGAGTGATGCTGACGACGGTGCAGGGAGAAGCCACACCCTAAGGCTCCTGTGTATAGGACAGAGTTACAACGTAGGATGGCTCCCACGTGCCATCAGAAGTCTAGAAGTCTCTGGTATTCTGGTCCCAAACTCTCATTTCCTGCACTCAGCTTTTGCTATATCCATGACTAAACCTTCTGCCCCTTCAGCATGGCCTGACACCAAACATCAAATTCCAATATTAAACTGGGCTCCTGCTGCGGAATGCTGAGTCTTGTCACTGTACCTACAAAATCTCCCAAATCCAATGCCCTCTCCCCTCAGTCACAGCCCCCACAGCGGCAGCGCCATTACCTCTTGCATTGGGCTACGCAGCAGCCTCCTACCTCATCTGCTCACACTCCCTTGGGTCCCCCCCACCTTCCCTCTCAGCACTGCCCCCAGGGTGCTTGTCCAAAGATGCAAATCTGGCCATGCCACACCCATGCTTAAATCCCTTCCCTGGCTTCACACTGTTCTTAGAATCAAGTTCCAAATCCTGACAGCGGCCTAGGAGAACATGGCCGCAGCTGATCTCTGGCCACCACCCACTTCCATCTCCTTGCCTGCCACCTCTGGTCGCATTGGTTTTTATTACTGTCCCTCGATTGTGCCAAGCCCTTACCCTTCAGAGCCTTCACACGTGCTGTTCCCTTGGCTGGAATGCTTTCCCTACCACACTTCACCTGGCTGAGCCCTATCCATCGATTACCTCTCAGGGTAAATGTCACTGACTCAAGAAAGTTCTCCTTGAACCTCCCCTCCAGATCCATTCCCTGATAGCACCAGATAACTAAACAATTACTGTGCAATTAGTACCTTCTCCCCTCCTCATTAGCCTGTTAGCTCCACAAAGACTGGTATTGGTTTTGTCCATGGGTGCCTCCCCAGTACCTAGTTCAGTGCTGCCAACCATTAAGGGATCAAGTGAGTGAGTGAATAAATGATTAAAGAATTAAGCAATGAGGCCAAATGAGGGGCCACCTGGAAGAGTGAGAGGCAAGTCCTTTCATCCAAAGATCTAAAAGCACATGCTAGGGACACCTTGAAAGCAAGAGCTACAAACAGGGAACACTTATGGGTTTATATCCAAGCACGATGGCCCCACTGTCACCAGTCCTACAGCTTGGCCTGGGGAAGGCCCAAGGTACCAGTTTGACCTCTGGTCTGAGCCTGCCTGGAACTCTACGGTTAGAAGCTGTCTCTCTCTCATATCCAAAGATCCTTGGGATGGAGGCAGCATCGATTTTGGAATTAGATACACTTGGCTTTTCCACTACCTAGCTGTTTGACCTTGGACGAATTACAGAGCCACCCAAAGCCTCAGTTTCCACATCCAAAAATGGGGATAACAAAACCTACCCCAAGCTCTATCAGAGGCTTAATTACCATCATGAACCTGTACTGCCCAGCAGCATGCAGCTCAAAGTGCTGACCCCCTCTCCCAGCAAAACTGGACTAGCCCTGTCATTTCACCCTTTTGGACACCCAAACCAGCAGGCAAGACAAGGAATGAAGGGAGGGCTGAGGGGTGGGATGACACAGTCCACCCAAATCACTGCCCTGACCTTTCCACCCACCCAGAGGAACGCCAGAGCAGGACTAGCGTAACACCAGGAAATCCAGACAAGCTGAGTAAGGTGACTGACTGATCTGTGCCTTTTAGGAGCCGGAGTAGGTTGAGATGGCGAAGGGAGGACAGGTGAGCTTGGAAGCTATTATTCAAACAGAAATAAAGAGCAGTTGCAAAGAGGGAGAGGCCGACATAGGACCAGGAAGGAAAGACTGGGCAGGCGAGGGGCTGAGACAAGGTGATCCAAGTTGTCGGATGGCAGAGGCTGAAGAAAGAATAGGAAGGAAGGGGTACCTTGGGTGGTGGGAGAAGTAACAGAAGAGGGTCAGGGTTAAGGCTGGAGAGGAACAGCAAACTCCTGGTGAAGAGGTCGCGGCGGGGTGGTGCGGGGGGAGACATTGACTTGGTTTCTGGAGTCAGGAGAAACGGAGGTGAGGACGGAGGCTGTCACCTTGAGTCTTCCTAGAGGGCAGGTAAATGGGGCTTGAGAATAGTGGAGAGTTGGAGGAGGGGGTATTAGTGGGGAAGGTTCCGTGACCCCGGGCCCAGCTGTACCTGAGGGTCTCCTTGAAGCTCGCCCACGTAGTACTGCTCGAGCCAGCGGCGCGCGTTGGCCGAGTGCCGGTGCGGCGGCCCGTCCAGGTCGGCGCTAACATCCTGGCCAGCCCGCGCCCGCAGCAGCTGCTCGCCCCCCGGGTGCTGCCGCAGGAAACCGGTGAGGTCGTAGAGGCGGGCCCCGCAGCGGACCCAGCAAGCGCCAGCCGCCAGTCGCTGCTGGACTTCGGCGGGTGAGAAGGAGGCGGTGGGGGGCGGAGCGGGGACCATGGCCGGAGACCGGAGCTCGCAGCTCGTAGTCCGGGCGTCTGCTCGGCAGCCGCCCAGAGCGCCTCTAACATCCCCTTGAGCCCGGGCCGCCTGGACCGGCCGGCCGCCACCGCACCTGCTCATTTGCATGTTGCGCTGCCATTGGCCATTCCGCGGGACACTGCGCGAGCCCGGAGGGGCCGTCGTCCCCATTGGCCCTCAGGAAGCCAGGCAGACCCGAGCGGGGCGGGCCCGACGCTGCCGGCCGCCCGCCAGGTGGCCCTGGGCAGGTAGAGGGCACGCCCGCCAGGTGTGTCCTGTCTCAGGAGGAAAGCCAAGGGGGTGGGCGGATGCAGACGGAGCAAGTCTTCCTGTCTCCAGTGGCTGTCTGGACGGACACCCTCCGTGGCCTAATCGCCACTGGAATAACTTCTGCTGTCGCTTTATGGGAGAAACTTGCAGTTGTACACCCTCAGGCTCCGGGGCGGGGCGGGGAGGACGAAGGAATAGAGAGGGCTAGAGTATGGCGAGTGAGGCTCCAAACTCAGTAATTACAATGTATAACATTTTAATGTAATATTTTAAAAATCATATTGTTGCACAATATGAATGCACTTGATGCCATTTAACTGTAAATTTAAAAATCGTTAAAATCGTAAATTTTATATTATGGATACTTTACCACAATAAAAAATACATATATACTATAAAGAATTTAGAATACTAAAAAAAATCATATTGGCAAACCAAAGCCTGCAGGCTGGCCACCTGTTTCTGTAAGTAAAATTTCACTGGAACGGGGACTAGTGAGGTGAGTGAAGCAGGATGATGAAAGTAAAGGGTGGGATCTTGTTCTTAATACATGAAGTTTTGGGATTTTGTTCATCATGGATATTTTGCATTTTGAACATTTAAAATGCTGCGTTAAAATATTCTTTATCTTGATTACTGAGGGGTTTTTTTTGGTTTTTGTTTTGGGTTTGTTTTTGTTTTGTTTTGTTTGTTTGTTTGTTTGGTGTGCCCTAAGGTTTACACCCAGAGAGACTGCCTCACTTGCCTCACTCTGGTCTCACCCTGCAAGAAGGGCCCTGAGGAGAGAACAGAGACTCCTCTCTCCGTTTCACAAGGGAAATATGGACCTAAAAGAGAAGAACCCACTGGTCATGCTAGATGGAAAGGAAAACAGTGTGCTCTCCAGTTTTATTTATAAGAGGGAAGCACTGCACACAATGTTACTTGCTCAGCAATTGGGGAATCTCCCTTGAATTCATGATTTGTAATCAAGGGATCCTGGTACTGAGGCTGCCCCATCCAGCTGACCTCAGTCTCTCTCAGGAAAAGGTATTTTCAGGGGCACTCTTGTTTATGCTCTTCTGGGGCTGAGCATCTATACCAGGCCAGCACCGCAGGGGAAGCCTGGCCCAGATACCTCGGGCAACAACAGATGTGCCCAAAGTCAGGAGAGTTGTCTCGTCCCTCTCTACCAGGCCTCTCCTGGCTCACCCTCAGGGATTAGGCAAGAGTTCGGCTGAGTCTATTGATCTGCTGTGGAAGGGTTGGAGGCCTTAGGTCACTCATGTTGCTTTTCTCAAGTGGAAAATACATAGTCACCCTTATGCCACTTCCACACCTACTCTGTTCCAAATACCATGCATATGCAAAAGCAGACACAGAGTCCTAGGTGTCCTCAAGTTCTTTCTGCTGCCAATATCTGAATGGCAAAATCCATTTGGATTTCTCACCATCACCCTAAAGTCCTATTGTCTCAAGTTAAACAAGCAATTTAGCCATCTATTCAGAATTGTAACACATTTCTTGCCATAGTTAATTCCACTGATAGAAATTTTATCCTAAAGATACACCATATAAAGATGTATGCATAATAATATTAAGTGCAACTTTGCTTACAGACTAGAAACAACCCAAATATTCATTAGAGAGGACTGATTAAATAAACGGTATATTCAGACAATTAAGTACTATGTAATGAGATAGATTTATGCATACAGAGAGGGACTAATCTCTAGGACGTTGTGAGTGGAAACAACAAGAATGGTGGGTATAGTGTACTAACAACTATTTTGCTATTTTTTAACCTTTAATATTTAAAAATATTTTTATGTATTGATTTGAGAGAAAGAGAGAGAGGAAGGAGAGAGATAGACAGACACATCAATTTGCTGTTCCACTTATTTATGCTTTCATTGGTTGAACTGGTTGATTCTTATATGTCCCCTGACTGGGGATTGAACCTGCAACCTTGGCATATTACTATGATGCTTTATCCACCTGAGATATCTGGCCAGGGAAAAAATATTGTTAATGCAAACAAAAGTGTATATGTAAGATATAAAACAAAAGTAATATAATTAACTCAATGAATTTGCCAACCAAAGAGCTAGGACACCTACTTCTATACTTCAAAACTTCCATCACTCCACCTCCTCCCAAGAGGTAATCACTGTCCTGACTTTTGGGCTTATCCTTCCCTTGCTCTTTTTTAAATATATTTATCACATCTATGTGTATGCCTATGCAATATGTTGTTTTGATTAGCTTGTCTGAGTTTTATGAAAATTACAGGATACTGTATTTTGCTTTATGTTGCATTATTGCATGTTTTACTCAATAGCGTTTTAAGATTCATCCATGTTGTTGAGAGTCACTGTAGTTCATCAATTTTCACTGCAATGTCATATTCTACTATATGAATTTCTTTACCCAGTTTCCTTTACTTATATATAGGAATTTGAGTTGTTTTATTTTTTTCTGTTATAAGCATTCTTGTCCATATGGGTAGGAGTTTCTATAGCCTATATACCTAGGACTTGCATATGTTATGCAAGCATTCCCATTTACAAGAAAATGTAGGTTAACTTCTAAGTGGCTGTACTATTTTACATCCCCATGAAAAATGAATGAAAATCCGCCAGTGTGGCTCAGTTGGTTGTAGTGTCATCCCATAAACCATAAGGTTGCAGGTGAAGTTTGAGGTCTGGGCACACGCCTGGGTTTGCAGCCCAGGTCCCTGGTCAGAGTGTAAATGAGAGGCAACTGATGGATGTTCCTGTCTCACATTGATGTTTCTCTCTCTCTCCCTCTCTCTCTTCTCCTTTCTCCCCATTCCCCTCTCTTTAAAATCAATAACCATGTCATCAGGTGAGGATAAAAAAATGTTTAAAGAGGTACAAATATCTCTAGTCCTAAATCTGGGAACAAGATGAGGATGCCCACTCTCATCACCGATATTCAACATTATATCACAGGTTCTACCCAGTGATATAAGGCCAACAAAAGAAATGAAGGACAAAAAGAGCAGAAATGAAGGCTTTAAATATTCTCTACTTATAGATAGCAGGGTTGTTTACATAGAAAATCTCAATTAATTTGCAAAGCAACTAGAACTATTAAGTGAATGTATTGAGTTCATAAGAACCCAAGTCAAAATACAACAAAATGAAATGAGTTGTATTTTAATTGTCAGGAGCAAACAAATGGAAAATGAAATTTTAAAACCCCACTTATAGTAATGTAAAAACATAAAATATATAAAAATAAATTTGATAAGTACATCCAAGACATCCAGCTGCAAACTATAAAATGCTGCTTAGAGAAATTAAAGAATATCTAAATAAATGGAGTTCATGGATATAACAAGTTCCCACATAATGGACTGGATTATTCAATATGAAGATCTCAAATCCTCCAATTAATCTACAAATTCAACACAATCCCAGTCATGATCCCACTAAATTTGTTGAGATTTTTTTAGAAACTGACAAACTATTATGTAATTGAAATTTACTAAGAGATTGGAACTCAAATGCTCTCACCAAAAAGAAAAGAAAAAATTTGAGCGACTTCTAAAATTTATATGTAATGTAAAGGACCTAGAATATCCAGTGCAATATCGAGAAACAACAAAGTTGCAGGACTTAATACTTCCTGACTTCACAATTTAATACATGTAAAACTACATATTCAAGACAGTGTGGTACTTGCATAAGAACCAACATGGGACAAACAGGAATCCAGGAATAGACCCAAACACATAAGATCATTTTGTTCTTTTATGGAGATATAATTACATACAGTAAAATTTGGCCTTTTTAATGTACAGTTAGTTATATAAGTTTGAGAGCATCTTTATACTATTGTGAAACTGAGTTTGTCTCTCCCTCTGCTTGTAAGTACCATGTTTTTATTATTGCTTTATAATAAGCTAACAGAGCTTCTGACACCTAATAGGTGCTTAACAAATACTTGTTGAAATTGAATTCCACTCTCTAATTCAGATGTTCCTCTCATGCCTATACTAGTGCAGTGGCCTGACAATCTCTCTTCCTTGAAGCCCCACTTCTTCCAACCCTTTTTCAACATCACCAAAGAACTGAGACTCCGTTTAACACGTCATCACCCTGTTCAGAAACTGTCAGCGACTCTCTCCTGCAAAAGTGATGAGATCCATATTGACCTGGGATGCAGGCCCTAACTAACTCTTCACAGACTCACCCCCTCTCCTGCAGAGGGAAAGGTCCTTGTGTCTCTCTGCCTGGCAGGCCTGACCCCTAGGTTCAAAGAGCCCCTGATTCCTTTACTGCCTGTAACACTCGCATTGCCCTCAGTACACGGTCCCTGTCCTATTACCCTCACTCCCTAACTAGACGGCGCCGGCTTGAGGGTAAGGAATGTTCCTCATGTTAATGTGAACCTCCAGCACTTTACACACAGTAGAAAAATCAACAAATATTTACTAATAATTGTACTAGTAAATATAAACACAAACTCCCCTCAAGCATACAGGCACACACAAAAAACACACATATATGCATACATTCTAAGCACTCTTGAACACTAACTATTTTGCCTATGGTAGGAAATCTGAAGTTAATATGTATCTTTTGTTTCCACATGTTATTGAATATGTACCTCATTCATTGTAAGATAAATCCTAGGTTTATTGTCTCTTTTTTAATGTGAGGTTTTTGTTTGTTTATTGTTTGCTTGATCTCATTTTTATGTGGAATCTAAAAACGAAAGCCCAGCTCTAGCTGGTGTGGCTCAGTGGATTGAGT